TAATAGGCAGCAGGTTTAAAACAAATAAAAGGAAGTTCTTCTTCACGCAGCGCACAGTCAACTTGTGGAACTCCTTACCTGAGGAGGTTGTGAAGGCTATGACTATAACAGAGTTTAAAAGAGAACTGGATAAATTCATGGTGGTTAAGTCCATTAATGGCTATTAGCCAGGACGGGTAAGGAATGGTGTCCCTAGCTTCTGTCTGTCAGAGGGTGGAGATGGATGGCAGGAGAGAGATCACTTGATCATTGTTAGGTTCACTCCCTCTGGGGCACCTGGCATTGGCCACTGTCGGTAGACAGGATACTGGGCTAGATGGACCTTTGGTCTGACCTGGTATGGCCTTTCTTATGTTCTTATTGTTAATACAGAGAAGGATTGGAGCTTTATACAGGAAGAACTAGATGATCCTGAAGACTGAGTAACAAATGGAATGAAATTTAATACTACAAATTGAAGGGTCAGGCACTTAGGGTCTAATGATAAGAATTTCTGCTATAAGATGGAGGTTCATGATTTGGAATTGACAGAAGGAGAGAGACCTGGGTGTGTGGTCAAGCACAGGATGTCCGAGAGTTACCATTGTAATGCAAAAAATGCAAATGTGATCCTAGGATGTATCAGGCAAGGCATTTCCAGTAGAGATAGAGAAGTATTAAAGACATTGTGCAAGGCTCTGATAAAACCTCATTTGGAATATTGTGTACAGATTCTGGTCACTGTTATTCAAGAAAGACGAATTCAAGCTGGAACAGGTGCAAAGAAGAGCTAGTAGGGAGGTTTGCTTGCTAGGATCATGTAGGTATCTCACACTTAATTCCCTGCCATTGCAGCAGCCTCAAGTATTGGTGCACCGTTATCCCTCCTATTCTGTGCCTGTGGCACATAATAGTTTAATCTCCTGTGGGCTGTGATACTTTAGTCTAAATTTGGTTGTTGGGTTTAGTGTGTGGGTGCTCTGGCTGTTGGTCAATAGTATACAGGAGCATAGGTGCTGACTCTGTGGGTGCTCTGGGGCTGGAGCACCCATGGGGAAAAAATTCAAAAGTGCCCATTTGTCTCCTGGACCATTAATGTTTATTAATATGTCTGTTTTCTACTAGTAGCTCTCAGAAGTGCCATGTGATAGAACCTGGCTTTGGTTCAGTGTCCTGGTCTCGTCACTCTCCACATCAGCAGGGTATGGGTGAACTACTCAAGTATCTTGGTGATCTCTGTACTGAACCCTCAGCTCTCTTAAGGATCTTCTTAGTAAGGGGTGGGCAACTTGTGGGCTGCATGTGGCCTGTCAGGGTAATCTGCTGGCGGGCCGCGAGAGTTCATTTACATTGACCATCCACAGGCATGGCTGCCCGCAGCTCCCAGTGGCCACCGTTTGCCATTCCTTGCCAATGGGAGCTGCGAGAAGTGGTGGCCAGCACGTCCCTGTGGCCCACGCGTCCCTGTGGCCCACCCTATTTCCCGCAGCTCCCATTGGCTGAGAACGGTGAACTGAGGCCACTTTGGAGCTGCGGGCAGCTGTGCCTGCGGACGGTCAATGTAAACAAACTGTCTCGCAGCCCGTGGGCCGCAGGTTGCCCACCACTGTTCTTAGCCCTGCTAAGATGGTGAATTTCACTGCTAGTTATGCCTAATGTGGAAGAATAAATGTAGGATCCTCAAGGATACAGTGCAAATCATTCCCTTCCTTCCCCGCGCTTAAGAAAATATGTTGGGATATATCCCAAAGAACTAGGGACAGGAAGACTCATATTTTTCATGACTGTAATTTGACTTGCTCTGGGGTCCTAACTATTAACTATAATCCCAGCATTACCAGTCATTACCCAGGTCTAAGTAAATTCCCATTCAGAGGATATGAATGTTGGAGAATGGGGTTGGTAAATAGGAGAAAGATTTAAAACAGGTAAGGCTTCCTCCCTTGCCCTTCATTACCTTGTCTTACCAAGGTGTTCATAACTGCATTAAGTTATTCTCTTTTATTATTTTACATGTCTTAGTGGACAATTACTAGTTCAGTTTTAATCTTTAGCATTATTGTGAAAAATCATGGAAATACAATTTTTTTGCGGGGTGGGTGGTGTGCCGTGGAGGTTTGCATTATTGGTGCATGTATAAGTTCAGTCTGTTTGTTAGCTCACAAGCTTCTTGATAATATTGCTGTATGTGTGGTGTTCTGTACTGTCACCTCATCCTGTTTTCCATAGGTAGGGGGGGAAATCATAATCCTTCATTGAACTGTTTTTTCAACTAATCACTTCTACTTTCTTCAAATAATAAGCTACTTTAAATTGAGCCTGTTTGGTTTTTTTTTCCTTACACAAGAAATACAGCCTAGTTACTGTATTTAGCTAAAACAGTCTTCTTAATAGTTATGAAAAAACCCAGACATACTGACATCTGACTTCTCATTCAATAGTATTCTAAATCAGGAAATGTTTGCTCTTCACTTAAGGTAACTTTTGTGGTGTGTGTGTGTGTGTGTGTGTGTGTGTGTGTGTGTGTGTGTACACACGCATATAATATATATCTGTTCTAAATGGCTAGATGAATACAGTTACACTTGTCAGGATATATGAAACCACAGCCCACACTGTGCATCCAGTGATTAAACCATTTTACACAATGGGCAATTGTTCATTCCAGCACATTCAGCCTTTCTAACATATTCTCCATTTTAGTATGTCGTTATATCCAGAATGTATTTGCTTCATACTGTGGTATTTAAAAGGTGTCTTGTAAGGTTGATTAAAATCTCTGTAGTGTTATACATATTGCTTTGTCAGTTCCTTTTTTTGTTTTGTTTTGTTTTGTGAAGATGATCTTCTGTATCCATGTGTCTGGCTATTGTTTCCACAATCCGTTCAGTGCAGCTTCCTCAGCACATACTGCCCTCCCTTCTCCCACTTCCCCAGACAGGGTGATTTCTGATGTTTTGCGTAGCTTTATTGTTTCCTTCCCACTGTCATCAAATTCACACTGTAATACTTGGCACTTTTACTTCCTTTATAGAGTAGGATGTGATGTCATAGAGAAGGGGACAGGGCTACCCAAATTTTCTCAATTGCAGGGAGGAGCTGCCCAGGTGTGCTGAGGGGCCTGTACTCAGGAAGAGAAACAGGGAATCCTCCACAGTGAGTAACCCCACTTTCAAGTGCACCCAGTTTCCTTCATAGCCATGTCCAGTACAGTGTAGTTTCCTCTTCTGCCCTTTCCAGTTTTACCCAGTTTGCCCTCTGGAGTGTTCCCAGTTCAGTTCAGTTTCCCTTTTTCCCCTCCATTTTACTGCATATTCATTTTACTTCATCCTTTTCTGTTAACGCTCCTCTCTTCCTTACTCCAAAGGTTATGTTTTCCTTTTTTGCCTCTTGATGTTGTTAACCTCCATCATTCTAGTCTTAATCTTCACTCACATTGTCCTCTTTCCAGTGAATTAGACTGTCCTATTGCTACTACTTCCTGTTTTGTCTATAGTTCCTCTCCTCTCCCTTGTAATAATCTCTTTCCGAGCTCTTCGCTGATCCCTTTGCCTCTTTTAATTACTTTCCTCCCTACTTTTCCCCCTTTCAGGTCACCATTCCATTTTCCTTTCCTGCAAGTTCCATGTGTAATCTTTCCTATTTACATACACGTTGTTATAAGCTCAGTTCAGCTCCCAAACCTTTCTAGTGCAGCCCTCATTTCTGCATTTTTCTTTTGTAGAACTAAAAGGTAAAGAATAAGCTTGTCTGACATGGAAAACAATATGGGGCAAGGGGTTTGGCAAATAATGTTCTGAATTGGAAAGGGGAGAACAGGAAGCTACCAGAACTGTAAAATGGCAGGAGGGGCCTGGGGAGCTCAAGGGATTGGTAGAGGGTATGGAGGCTTTGGCTCTTCTAGGTCACCTGCTTGAATTACAGCCCTGGTTAGTAGTGATTGAAAATATTCACCATCCAGTCTTCGGTGACTTATGTGATATGTTTTGGTGGTATGTCTCTAGTTCCTAGTGGACAGGTGTCCACGTTACAGTAGCTACCATCACAATTGGCATTAATTGGTAACTAGGCAAGAGAGGCAAAGGATTGAATGAGCATGGAGACCAAACTCATTTCTCATTTGCCAGAGGTGGAAGTGCAAGTTGTTACTGAGTCACGTTGGAAAGACACTGTGGGGAAGCTTGCATTGCCATTGCCTGTGCTGTACCTTTTCTGTTGATAAAGGATTTCAGTTTCCAGGGCTGTCAATCTGGCACCTTACATGAGCAAAAGAATGGCAGAAAGAGTTAACTGGCTAAAACTGAAAAGGGACAAAAAGCAAATGACAAACTAGAAAATTCCATGCCAATTGGTCTGAATTGGGATGAGGAGTGGATTAATTTGGGCTCAATTGGAAAAGGCAAAGGAGTGGAAAACTGAGCTGAACTGGAAAACATACTGCATTCGAGTGAGTCATGTGGCATCTTCTGTGCTTCTGTGACTGTTTTGACCACTTAATTTTTCATCTTTTTAAAAACAAAAAGCATTTAAAATTTGAAACCTATCATGTCACTTCTGACAGTGGCTCCTCCTTTGCAAACAGAAGTTTTTAGCCTTTTTTGTTTCTGAGGTCATCATAAAATGTAAGCACAGTACTTCAGTGACCTCATACTGTTTTTAAAGTAGTGAGCAAAAACTAGCAATCTCTCGCGCTCTTTTTTCCCCCCTGCCTCAGAGAAACTGTACTGCCGTATTGGTCTCCTCAAATAGGTTTCATATTTTAACTCTTTTTAGTTTACTTTGTATCTTTGGAAGAATATTCCCATGCATTTCAGCAGATGATGCACACAAGCAGCAAGTAAATCTCACTTTTTCTGCAGTGTCCTGGACTATATCTGGCCTTCCAACAGATGGAGGACTCCAGTCTCAACACTGCAATCCCCCTTCCAAAAATAATTAGGAAAAAAGTGCATGAACACATAACCTTTCAAATTCACAGAATTATTGTATCTTATTTACACATATATATCATTTCTTTTTAGGCATTGGAAAAACACCCCAACTCACCAATGACTGCAAAACAAATACTGGAAGTCATTCAGAAAGAAGGATTAAAAGAAACAAGGTCAGTATTTATATGTTCAATATTTCTTACAATTTCTTTGAAAACAATGAAATCTAGTAGTAGTGAGGACTGTATACCATTCCTAAAGTAATATGCACTGGCTAAATCGGAATGTCAGCGCATGGCAAGCTTATCTCACGTTTTTAGTTTTCAGTGTTGTAGCTGTGTGTTGGTCCCAGGATAATAGTAAGACAGGGTGGGTGAGGTAATATTTTTTTATTGGACCTACTCATCTCTTTCACCAACAGAGGTTGGGCCAATAAAAGAGATTACCTCACCTGTTTTTTTTTTTTAGGTTTCTTAAATAATCACGTGACTCAACTTATTGCAAAGTGATTTGGATGCAGAAATGGATTGCAATGGATAAACCCCTGGAGGATGAGCAGGTTGGGCTAATGGGGTTCGATCCAAAACCCAACGAAGTCAGTAGCAGTCTTTCCATTGGCTCCAGTGGGCTTTGGATCGAGCTCAATGCATTCTGCTTCAGGTGGACATACAGCTCCTTATTCCTGAATCACAACTGTGAGGTGATCTAAGCTATAACTGGGATTTGGACATGAAGACAAAACGGCAGATTACTCTAACAGGAAAGGAGAGATTAGTTTGGGGAGGAAAGTAATAATGATGCTCAAATACAGGGTGCATTTTCTTCTTCTATGACTGGTGTTGAGGGATGACTGCTCACAGGGAATTTCTCTTCAAAGATACTGTGTCAGTAGGTATTTTGCGGCAGCAAAATAAGGTACGCATTTGCTTCTATTTTAATTATATCCTTTTACTGTGGTGCCTAAAATGTAGGGCAAGTGAGCTTTAAAAGACAACTAGTCTAGTAGAATTGTAATGCATTATATCTGTTATTTCTGAATTTATACTGTTTACCCAAAAGAATCTTCCCTAGGTACTGTTATGTTTCTTGTCATTCAGAAACATTTTCTAAGAAACAGAAGGAATAATGCAGTGCAGAGTCTTGCACAGTATATAACCGTGCAGCTTACTGGTAAACTAGATACGAGCATGTTGTAAGACATAATAAGTGTGTGTTGGTGGAATGAACAGCAGCAGGGATAGTATTATGTATAAGTGGAAGCTGAATTTGCCCTCTAAAGCTCTGCAAATGTAGTTGCTGTTCAGAAATCATTTGAAATGTTTGTGCCAGTGCCAAGGAAGAAGGAGAGAGCCTTAGAAAATAAATGTCTGAGCTTAAGCTCTGTGCCACAAGGATATGCAAACAACAAAAAAGTCTCTCAAAAGAAATCACTTGAAAATTGTATATTAAGATACTCCACAGCAACGAATGAGCTACTGATTGTTCTTTCTAGTCTTATGATATGACGCTACTGCACTTTGGTTTACAATTCTATTCTAATAATTCTTGTTATAATAACAACACCTCTTCATAATTCTTAGAGTGCTTTTTCCCCATCATGGTATATTAAAGAGGAAGCAGTGTACAGAGACTGGGTAGGGGGTGAAGCTAGCTCTTTAATATACTTAAAATACAGAAAACAAAAATACTCCTTTTGACAGTAAATATAAATAAGTCATACAACAGGAAGAAGAACCTACTAAATGGAAAATCAGCCTTGTAATAATGCATGAACTCAGAGTGACAGGCAAGAAAAGGATCGACAAGTGTTCATTTCTGTATGATTTATATTGTGATTCAGTATGTATGTGCTGTAAAATGAATACAGCACATGTTTGGGTAATTAGTAGTAACTAACTATATGGAATGTCATGTGTAGTGATGAGCATTCCTACTATTGAAGGCAGGACAAATCTCTATATTGTCTATTCTTTAACTGAGCCCCAAATTGAGGAGCCTAAAAATTATGATTGTTGCAGTTGTCTGGAAATTGTGACTTTTTTTTTTTTTTTTTTTTTTAGAATCGAGTTTAAATTTAAACAAAGTTTGGATTAAGTGTTTTCTACTGCATTGAAAATAGTTGAAATTAAGTGCTCATGAAAGATTTTTGACTGAGAATGTTGGTGGTTAAATTCCTCTACTAGAGCAGCAGGCTATGCAAACTTATCCTATTTAGCCATGCTACTTTAACTGTAATCTGCAGGGGACCATCTCTATGGCTCACAAGGCACTTTAGTCTCCATGCTGCTATCTACTGAGACTTACAAGTAGTAGTGGATTTTGTGATGAGTAGTCAACCTGTACCCCCCGGAAAAAAAAAAAAAAAAAGCTGGAATGAGACCACCAAAGTGTCTTGGACCACTTAACAGCCTTCATTCTTTGATGACTTTCTTTCAACTGGACTGGATTTGAACCAGCAGTGAAGGGTTATGTATCCTATTCCCTCTTCCTTAAACTGATATGTTTATCAGCAAACCTGTAGCAATTCTGGGTGAAGTTCTCCTAGAATTCTTTTCCAGCCTTTCCAGTGTATAGTGAACAAAAGGACTGCTCAGTTCAGTCATTTTGCACGTATATTGCAAAAGTAATTAATCTAAAATTTCTTGCTGTATTAGCAACTCAGAATTAATAACTTTTAAGTTTTAGCATTTTTATTGTTGCCATTAGCGGCCAATCTTTAGGAGGACTCTGTCGGCCTTTGAGGCCCTTACATTTATTTCTCTTTGATGTTATAAAGATGTGGAATTCCCCAACAGTTTGGTTGTTTTTCTACCCAAATTAAGTCCAGCAGGGAGAAAATTTAAAAAACAAAAACACTACCACAAATCCAGGTGCACCTCAAGGGAAAAACAAACAAAACTATGGTCATAAGCTGTGCTGGAGAGTACACTTGCACAGATTTATATCATGTTTGAGATGCATGTTTCAGTTTTGTTTTTGTTTTGTTTTTTAAATATCTTTCCTGCTGCGACAATCACTTGTAAAAAGATCATCATCTGGCCAATCCTCCTCTCTGTACCTGGAAGGAAAACCAACTTTTAAGGTAAACAATTTTGGGGCCTAAAAGTTTGACATTTTTCTTAACTAATGAAAAGAAATTATTTGTGTGTCTAAATGTAAGTGTTAGCAAACTGACATCGCTTGAGACTGTAGTCTTTTATCTACAGAGCAGGTGTAATGCATGCAACAATAGTGCAAACTTCAAGTTTACCTTTCATTGTACCTCAACCTTATTCTGAAATAATTGCTTTTCTTGGAGACAGGGTAGTTTAGCTATGTGCCTGTTTAAACATTGGCCTCTCTGCTGAGATTACAAATGAAGGTGTCAATTGTGCCACCTGGCTACTTTTAACTGGATTGGGAACACCAAATTATTTCACATAGGCCACTAAGCAGTGGTTTAATGATAACAATTTTTGGATAGTATTTACATGAGCCAAATTTGAATTGGTGATTGAGAGAGACTTCCTGCTCCATTACCAACTTCCATAGCTTTCCAACCTACTGTTTTCCTCTTAAAAACAAATCAAATGTGTGTATGTAATTGGAGATTTTAGTTAATTTTATTTCCTGTATTTGCTATAATGTTTCTTATAACAGGCTAAGTCAAGAGGGGATAATGAGAAAGATACATGGTTTAATTAAAACAAACACTTGTGTTCTAATATTTTTTTAAAATTGAGATAAAATCCACAATGATTTTAAGGGTAGATGTTTGATTTTGAGAGATGTCAGAATCACTATAAAAATTACATGGTAGGAAACGTAAATTTCACATCTTGTAAAGTTGCAAATGTCCAGATGTGATTAAAAATATGTGCTCATGGTGATAACGACCTGTTACGTTTCAGTAGGTTTCTTCTATGTGAGAATTTATCAGGCAGTTAGAAAGATTGAACAAAATTAATGTTCTGGCAGCCATTCACAGTGATGACTTGTAAACAGAAGTTAACTTTGTCAAAAGTTGTTTGGCTTCCATGTTTTCTAGTTTATACAGTTTTGCTGCATGCTAGTTTAGAGTCCAAGCGATATAGTGTAGTAGGGAAGGACTTGTGAGAAATCTTTGTGCAGAACCTCTTCTGATTATTTCCAGTTAAAAAGAATTATAATGGTAATTTGCGTGAGTGTAAGATGGCAAAAAAGGACTCTGAAAAGAATTGACTCACTTGCTAGCAGCAGGCAATTTAATTATTAGAGAAACGTCAAAGGGATTGAAATAATTACCAGAAACCTAGTAGCCAGATATGAAGTGATAGATGAAAGATGAGGAGGGGTATACCACTAGTGATGTTCAAGGGGAACGCCCTGATGAACAATTCAGCCCCGCCACTATCCCCAGCTGATGGGAGAGGGCATAGGTGTTGGGATTTTTACAATGGGTACTGATCCTGAGCTACTTTTCAGTGCTTGTTCTCTTTTATTAGTCTCAGGATAGTAATTGTCTGATATGTATGATGCTCCATAACCCCGGTAGTTATTGGTTGGATTCTTGGCACTTCCTGAGGCTCCTGGCTGATGTGAAAGGAGACAACTCTTGGCTACTGTACCCCTCCTGTTGCCTTGACATGTTTTTTGGCAGGTGGACAGGTGTGGGTGGGTCTTCTTCTGGGAATAACTCCACGCCCGCTTTTGCTGCTTACAGGTTTCCTAGGCAGCATCATCAAATTGACATGATTTGTGACAGCTTCACTGCTGCTTACAGGGTTCAGAACAACAGTAGGGAAACTGAGCTAGAGCCACATAAATTCACTCCGTAGCTTCCTCAAACAGCAGCAAACAGCAGCAGAGGCAGTGGACCTCACTGTCTGCAGACTCAAGAATACAACACTATGCTGGTTTACATTAGATTGACATTTGAAAGGGCTAGAAGCTTTTTCTTCAAGTGAAAGTTTAAATTCTGCCAAAATTGATGGCTTAGGCTCCCATACTCAACGTGGAGTACTTACCCACTGGCCAAGGGCAAGTGGATTTTTTTTTTTTTAACTCCTGCAATACATACAGGATTCCTTACAGAATGCTCCAGGCGCTTTACATAAATATGAAACATCAAATAAGTATATTTTCATTTTTGTTGAAAAATGGAAACCAGTTTGGCGTCCCAAAAATGAAAAGGCAACTCATTCCATAGTCATGA